ATTAGTTTGTAATTTATGAATGTTTGACAAATATTAAAGAGTATGTAAATATGAGAGGCATAATGTCTTTCCTGCGGGAGATGGCGAAATGACCCAAAGTCTTCGATACTGCTAGACTGATCACATGCATTATGTCTCTCCTCAAACTGTGCATTTGCTTGTCTATTTGGAACATATTTCCCATCTGACGTGTGAAATAGTGCAGATAAACCAATGATTCATAATGTTGGCAGCATTTGCATCCCCTAATACTCTGTGTTATTTTGATATATGATGATATACTGGCTCTTTTATCGAGTGTATAAAGGCACTTTTGCCATTATGGCTTTGGCTAAATCAGTAGGAGGGTTTTTGTCCTAAAACGGTCCATTTCCTTGTTTGTGAAGCACTTCCAAAGGAAAAAAAATCGTTATTTTATTTTTATTTCTGCGACACTGGCTATCTCAACTTCTTAACTCACAAACATGGAGTCGCTTTGTTCTGTGAACTTGAAGCAAAAGGCCTCAGCAACTTTAACATTTCTGTCTTTAGTAGAATTTCTTTCCTTTTTTTTGTTGTTGTTGTTGAATTTGAACACACCTGTTCGCCATGACTGTTGCTTTTCTCAGATATTAGATACAAACTCTCTCTCTCTCTCTCTCTCTCTCTCTCTCTCTCTCTCTCTCTCTCTCTCTCTCTCTCTCTCTTTCTCTCAGATCACACAGAGGTCAGCAGAAGATGATAAATTCAATTTATGATAAATTACTGTAGGATTTAATCGCCAAAGGGCAAGTCCCCAAATTCAGAATCATTCATTCTGCATGATGCATGGCCCACTTTTATCAGTCTGAAGTTTGAGTAGCTTACATGAGCTTTTTTAAATATTTGTGTTTATACTAGGGTGTGAAATCTGGAATGTTTTCCTTTATTTTGTTGTTATGAAACAATAAGCATTTATTTAAAAATCATGACTCATGTGGGCCTGTTCGAGCTCTGCAGGGAGAAATCCAGTGCGCCATCAGATTACTGTTTATACTGTGCTGCAGCAAGGAGAACTGCACTTTTTTTAAACCCCTTGTATTTCCCTCCCTCTTAATATGCACATGCACACATGATGTCTGAATAAACTCCCAATAATATTTAGATCTATATGTTTGCACATGTCTGCAAGTGGCAGCAACAAGTTCTTCCACATACATGAATCGACTCGCATTAATGAAGGAAGTCATCATGGCCCTCGCTCACTCTTTCAGTTCAGACTGCGAGATCAAATGAGAGAAGGAGATCTCAGATCAAAAGAGACCAAATAAGCGGGTCGCTGATTCATTCATGCAGCTGCATTGAGACCAAGGCCAACAGGCGTATCATACACTGAAAGGGAGCTGCTATTCAGAGTGCAGGTGTGAAGTATGTGGCACATTCTGCCATATAATGTGGAGGTTGTTAGAAATCCGTGTTCGGGCCTATAGGCTACTAGGGGGCTGATTCGCATTGGAGGGAGCCCGCTCATCTATGAAAGTAAAATAACTTCGTTTCCTGAAATCTGCGGATGACGGTAATCCTAAAACCTGGGGAGTGAGGTGGAGGGTGTGGGGTGTGGGGGGTGGTCTATAAGGTCTTATTGGCACAGATCCCCCCCCAGCCTCTCCGGATTGTGACTTATGTGAGGTTTGCCTGCTATATACAAAAGCTACCGCAGGGGTGTAGCCTTAAACCTGCCTTAACTCTGCTTGCTCACCTTTTTATATGCGGAATACAGTTAATTTAGCTTTAAAGGTTGTCATAAATCTTTATGACGGAAACTCGTGGTAGCCTATACATCACAGGCCATGTGATCTTGTAAATCCCCAACCGCCCCCCCTCCTTCGGAAACTAACCTTGGGTGATATCAGAATAAAATATTCAATATTCATGACAAGCTTTATGGTTGTAGTTAACTTGTGGGTGCGCATAGTTTGCCCTTTCACCTCTCTATGTACACTCGATCAAAGTCGAAGAAATAAAGTGTAATGCTCCTTTACGAAAAGAAAAACAGATTAATCCTATAATAACAGTTAACTAGATGGAGGGGAATGAAGAATATAACTGTAAAGTAGTGGGTGTCTTTGGAGATTTTAGCCAGATTTAATTAATTTATTATATATTTGATTTATTTGTTGATCATAAACAGTCAAATCAATGCATCCTTTTCTTGGACCAGTGTTCCCAGAATGCCAGCTCTATTATAACAACTCTGTCCTACTTTTCCGGTCTGTTTCTGGTGGCTCTATTGCACCTGTCTCTCTGTCTTTCTCTTTATTTTCCAAGCCAATTTCGGCCACTTCATTCTTGATAATTATGACCTGGTTGGTGTTGGAGGTGCTGATGGTGGTGTTGGAGCGTGGGGTGGGCGTGGAGGAAAAGGAGGAGGAGGGAGGGAGTGATGAGGGGTGGTGTGGAAGGGGGTGAGTGAGGCTTTTACTCCTAGACTGCTAATCCCCCTATTAAAAGGGTTTTGTTCAATAATGCCGGACAGTTTCCGGAAGTAGGATTACCGCCTCCATTATTTTACAAAGAAATGATATTTCACACTCAAATGAGCCTTAGGATGCAGCAGTGGTGGTGAGAGGGCCCTGGAAGAAATGAAATGGATTCATTTTCTTTTTGTTGCGCTTTGGAAGTTCAAAACCTCCCCCTTTTCTTTCTTTCTTTTCTTTCTTTTTTTTTTTTTTTTTAAACATCATCTCTTCTACAATTAATGAGAATACGTAGCTTATATTTCCTGTGAAACTGCGGTTTCCTGTTCTCTTTCTTGGAGTGGACTTGCATTCGTGTGGCTGCTCAAGTGGAGACTCTCTTCCTCCTCCTTCCTCTCTCTCTCTCTCTCTCTCTCTCTCTCTCTTTCTCTCTCTCTCTCACTCACACACACACACACACACACACACACACACACACACACACACACACGCATGCACACCTGTTCTTGATTCTTGACCCCAGAGCTGATATCAGATCAGAGGTTGTCACTCAGCTGAAGGTGGGAAGCCCCGACGAGTGAACCCAACGGGATCAGTTGTTAGAGAACATCTCTTACACTTCTAACTGTCTGTGCTATCCAGTGTCTGCGCGCCGGGAATGGAACTTTTACAATAAAAGTCATTATATATACATTTTACCTCTGCTGTGGTACAAACATGCACTTCACTTTACACTTTAAAATCTTTGGATCCAAGTTTCTTTGCAACCAAACCGACTTGTGCCAACTTCTTTGTAGATGTTTATATTTGGTAAAAAGCATAAATTGTTACGCGTAAAGGTCACTAAACTATTGCAGTGCATACGTGCACAATCTTGCAACAATGGCGCATGATTTTATTTTTCTTTGTGGCTTCTAAATGAATTTATTGCTACTTCTCTTTGATCCGTGGCTGCAGTAAAGATTAAATACTTTGGCTAAAAAATAGAGTTTGGCATGCCTTCCTGACTCATGTTTTAACTCTCCCCCTCTCTCGCTTCTTCCTCTAATGAAACAACCCTTTAAATGTTGCCTATCCTTCACTTTCAGCGCTGAATGGAAAATGTTTTTACGCGACTCAGTTAGTTCTTGTCCATTTTGACGACTGGAACTAAAAGCTTTAGACGGCCCAATAGAGAGGAGCCCAATAGAGAGGAGCCCAACAAATCGGTGACAAAAGGCTTTCCGTGTCATCAACGTCGTTCAGACGACCTAGAAGAATCCCTCTGATATCAACTTCCACTTCAAAGACTCCCACTTTCAATTGAGATCCAACTATCTTGTTGTTTTTTCATCCTTCCTTTGTTTTGATTTTTTTTTTCTTTACGCACAAGAGCTGGTGCCAAAAGAGGCATCATCATCTTCCTCTATTTGGTTGGTTTTAGTGTTTATTCTTTTCTTTCAGCTGGGCCTCTTCCACAGAGCAAACTGTCATGCACTTAACCAAACTCTATAAACGTATTGTAGCTATGTTGTTTCCACCCACTTCTGCCTCAGTCAAGGCAGGAGTAAAAATGTCCCCCTCAGCCAAAAAGTTTTCCCAGCGCATCAGAGCTCTTCGGGTTTTTCGGTTAGCTGCATGTTTTCACCCCTCTTCAGACTCATTTTACGTTTCACTTTATTTTATACTAATAAAAAAAAGTAAGAAAAAAAAGTTATAAAAAAAAAAGCTTAAAGCGAATTAATTTACATGTCTATTGCGAACATGTGCAGTTATCATTATAGGCAACGAAGCTTTAATGGTTTTACATATTTCATGTATAGAGCCTAAAATATGATTATGATTAAAGGTATCCATTGAGCAGTTCAGTTCTCTAGCAGTGCAAGTCTATTATGGTGTGGGACAACTGCGTTTTAGCGGCTTCTCCTTTGATTGTCGTAAAGTAGGTCTGCAGCAAAAGAATATATTTTTCTTCTTTATACTGCCCTCGTCTGCAATATAAAGGACATAGATTACCGTTTCCTACCCCATGGGAAGCAAATATTACATTCTTTAGAGCGGGCTTTTGAGTCCACGGACTTGGCCCCATATCATTTGAGTTTGACTTGGCTATTGCTATAGAAATCTTAATTCACCATGAGGATTCACCGTCGTGAAAAAATGGCTCTTTGTACGAAACGCCCTTTGAAGTCTGGATCAGAATATTGTAGCCCTTCATCAAACTGCATCAGACCACAGTCTCAGCTGAGAAAGTAAGACTTTAACACAAGTGGAGCGCAATTTAAGTTTTTTTTTTTTTCCGAGAAACACTTAAGAAATAAAATCTTTAAATGTAATGTAAGGGACATTACATTTTATTTCTTTAAATTATAGCATCTGAAAAGTAGACATGGGTAGAGCTGTGTTATGACTGGAGCTTTCCTACAAGCGGTGTGTACAGGGAGCAACAGTTTTTTTATGGAAATGTTGTATTAAGACATAAAAAAGGAGAAATTTTTCAGATATTCCTCAGAAAAAAAAAGATACATTTTAAGATAATAGATCACCGGCTGGAAATTCCATATAGACCCGAATGGCTCAGCAAAGTTTTCACTTTAGTCATACAAGATTTATTCAAAATACTCACAAATTACAAGGCAATTCGGTACGCATTTTGAGTGCCGCTGGATTTCAGATATTCAAAAAGAAAAAAATATATATATTGACGACAATGATACAAAACCACAAAATGCCCACTTTGATAAAACATTTATAATTTCACGGTCGTATATCAAATACTGCAGGCTTATGAAACAGCTCGATTGTTGACCCTCTGCACAAATGGAAAGAAAAATGCTGTAAACATAAAATGTTTGTACAAATAACTGCAGTAATCGGTAAGAAACTGCTTTGAGACAGATCCTTACAAAACTATCAACATCAACACATCGAAACTTACAAAATTTACAAATGTACATTTATGCCCTAACTGAAACATGCACTTTGGTTCGATAATAGGCCTACAAAAAAATCCTTCAAGATCAGATTGAAAAATAAATAAAAACATATTGAAGTCAGAACTCGAATTTACAAAATAATTTTACACCAACATGCCTAGCCTACAATAAAGTACCACATCTTCTAACGGATTTACACGACTCTCTCCACAAGTGGAGCAGTGGGCCGTCAGGGCGTGTAGGCACTGAGCCAACCATTTTGAGTCGCTGAGGTTTGAAAATATATTCTTTTATTGTGCCTAGAAATTAGCACGTCTTTAAGGTTTGCACATTTTCCTTCCAATGTGGTTAAAACGCGTCTCTTGGCTCTGGGTGTCTGTTTGGTGGCTCATCCAAAAAAAAAAGGGGGGGGACCAGTGGGCCTTCACAGGCGTATAGGCACCAAAAGCCAAAACCATTTTTAATAGTTGAGCTTTTGGAAATGTTCTCTCACTTGTGACACCGCGTTTTGTTTGAGTCCAATTGGGTTAAAACGCGTCCCTCGGTTCTGGGTTTCTGTAAGGTGGCTCGTCTGTGGGGTCGGGTGTGGAGGGCCCGCTGGGCGGTGTCTGGGCGCCGCTGGCACCTGAACTGTGGCACACGTACCATTCACTTAAATTCGCGGGCTGGGAGGCTCCCACCGGCTCCGACAGCACCGATGAGCCTCCTGGCTCCCGGCCCAAGTCTGAGGAGGGGGAGACCAGGGACGGGGTGGATGACTCGTAGCCTGAGCTGGGCGGGGGGGACTTGCAGTGCACCTTCATGTGTTTCCTCAGGGAGCTGGGGTGTGTGTAGGACTTATCGCAGCCTCTCACTTTGCAGTTGTAGGGCTTATCGCTGGTGTGGACGTGGGAGTGCTTTTTCCGGTCACTGCTGTTGGCGAAGCGTCTGTCGCAGCCGTCAAACTCACATTTGAAGGGCTTCTCACCTGTTAACAGGAAGGGTGACACAATACAATATATATCAATGGATTCAAATAAAAAATCAGGTTATTTGTTTCATTATTTATTTATGTTAGGCACATCCTCCCAATTTTCTAGAAGACTGATAGTGAGATAAAACTCCAATCTTTAAATACACTAACAATGTGGGTAGCCATAGTATGGGCACAAATGGGCTTAGAATAAACTAAGCACCAAGTATCTGTGACTAAAAAAAAAAAAAAGGTTTTTATTTTTAAAGCTGGTACAATTACAGCCACTTTTATTAGCCATCTTCTTGTTATTTTCATATATATATATCTTTTTTTTCTGATTTAGATTATATATTTTTTTGTATTTACAGTAAACACACCTTTACCCCCCACTTGCACTTTTAAAAGTTTGCCTGTTTGGACAGCCCTGCCATGAGTCTCAGTCTGGTGTAAACAGGAGGGCTGAACCCCTACTGTCCTGGGTCTATACCTGGCGTCTGCATGCATCAAGGCATACGTCAAAACAGACAAGCTATGAGCACAGACATAGCAGGCCTAAAACCAACTGAAAAGCATGATAAATGAAAGTATCGCCACAGCCAGGCTTCACCTACTGTGTGCTAACGGCAGCCTGTCTGCTATTTGAAAATCCTGCAAAATGGTTATGGACTAGGTTCTAATTTTTGCGTCTTAATAACAAGTATTTCTACCTGATTATGACAAGGCAAAAAAAAAAAAAAAAAAAAAAGAGAGAAAAAAGACAATCTGAATAAATTACACGGAAATCATCCACTGCTGATTTTTCTTCTCCGATTAAAGCTTTTGAGAATATGTAATTGCCTCTGTCTAATTACACTTGCGGGTTGAATATCAATTTGACCTTCAGCTGTTGGGTTGAGAGAGCCAATCAAGGATATTAGTGTAGTACAAGAAACCGTCGAGGAACAGACCCCAGGGGCAGCCCCAGTCATAACCACACTTTCGGATAGGTTTTAAACATGATACCAAAGACCAGGCCCCTTGGGAGTCAACACACAGAAATAATTTAACAGATTTGTACTTAGGTAATGTGAGCAAATTATATGAATAATACATAGGGTGCAGAAACGGAGCAGAGGGGGGAGTGCCATGCAGCCATCGCTATAAAAAAAAGGAATGTAATCATTGTATTCATTTACAAGTCTGACTCGACATTTTGAGGCCTTTTTTTTTTTTTTTCTTCTTCTTCTCTCACTAGCTCCACAGCACGTCACTGGGCCACAGACGCAAGGAGTCGTATTGGGCTATTATATGTTTTTAAAGTGAAAATCAAGGAGCTGCATTGTGCACACGTCAGTCATTACAGACGCAGTCAGCCTCTGCCAACCTGTTGGTGAATTATTTTAGCCGCCTGCACTTGTCAACTTGTTGCTTTGGCCACAGGCTATCAAAGAGCTGGTCATTCCAATGGCATGCTTATTATTTCACCATGCATACATGTCACATCACTAAGAAATAAGGTTATTATAAGGCTTCAATACTCGACTGTAAAATAAAAACACTCCCTTCTGTGTAGCTTTAAATGTAATATTGCAATGACTCCAACCAGCTGTTATTATGAATATGAGTGCTATTAAAGAGAGCAGCAAGTGGCTGGAAAATAAAAATAAAAGCATCACCACCATATCATCATATCAGTGACACTGAACGTGAAGATGCACCTTTGCAACTTTGCCACAGCAGTCATGTCTGGCGTGCACTAAGCTACATGGACAAGATCTGACGTGGGCCTCAGTCTTTGTGCTGTGGTGTAAACAAGAGGTTGAACCGTCAAACGCCTGAGTGAGCTGTACCATAATCCCCAAACCATTTGTAAAAACTTGTACTGATGCAACTCCTGGCAAACAGGTGGCCCAGTAGCTGTTGCGTGCTGATGTGACAGCAGCACAGGCTGATTAATTGGCATGGCTCATCAGTGTATATTTTTAATGCGTAAAATCAAAGATATTTTAATTAAAGCTCATTAAAAATAAGCTGAAAATTATGCAAAACGTGACTTAACTAGTGTCTGGATAGTATGCAGAGCCGACATTTGATTTTCAACATGCGATCATTTGCTTTAACACATTATAGCGCATTTCCAACATTTCTGCATTTTCCTTTTTACGAATACATAGCCACTGACCTGTGTGCGTCCTTTTGTGAATCTTAAGATTCTCGGATCTTGCAAACACTTTCCCACAGCCTGGGAATGGGCATGGAAACGGTTTCTCCCCGGTGTGCACTCGAATGTGATTTACAAGTTTGTACTTGGCTTTAAATGGTTTGCCTTCCCTCGGACACTCTTCCCAAAAACATATATGGTTCGCCTGCTCTGGTCCTCCGACGTGCTCCACCGTCACATGCGTTACCAGTTCATGCATGGTGCTGTAAGTTTTAGAGCAAAGTTTCTTCGGCGAGTGCTCCGGCTCCAGCCACTTGCAAATCAGCTCTTGCTTTATCGGCTGCCTCATGTAGCGAAAAAAGGCACCGGCTCCGTGGTGGTGGTGGTGGTGAGCGCTAAGATTCATGTTCAGATTCAGACCACCGTAGCCATGCAAAGGCGAGGCGGAGAACGGATCAGCCCTGGAGCTTGCTACTTGACTCAAGTGATCAGACCTTACATACATTTCTCCAGGTAGTCCTAACCTTATTTGTCCATTCAACGCTTGGCCACCCGGTGATCCGCTAGAAGGCTGGTCGTGATGGAGTCCAGAGAAGAGGGTATGGTTCCCAGCGTCAGGGTGATGACCATAGTGTCCGGGATAGCTACCTGTTGTTGAGACAAACATTCCGTGGTGAGAGGCTGAACCAGCAGTCTGGTCAGTCAGTACTGGCATGGCTTGAGCTGTCAGATCTCTCCGGATGAGGAAATCCCTACCTGCGGATAAAGCCTGGGCCGTGTGAGACATAGAATAGGGGACCGATGTCGCCTGAACCGGGCCAAAAGCTCCCGTTTGACTGGAGACCACTTCACTGTGGCCTGCCATATGATGATTGTGGTGGTGGTGATGGTGGTGGGGATAATGATGGGCTGGGCTGATTTTGAGGGCCGCGGAGTGCCCCATGTGTTCTGGCCCGAATGGACTCGGCCCCAGGCGGGGTTCCGCAGTAATCTCCCCAGGGTGCGAGTGAGCCATTGAGTGTGGATGGCTGCTGAACCCCGGGAAGCCTGTCACGCTCTGAGGGGTATGGTGGTGATGATGGTGATGGTGGTGAGCCCCTGCCAAGTCAACTAATCTCAGCGCCGTGTTCCGTTTGGAAAACGTAGGGTCCATCACGGGGCTTCCCAATGCATCCACGCTCATTACTTCCTAATTTTAGAATAACTTGACAGCAGGCAAAATAATAATGATGATGACAAATATATTTTAATCGCAATGAAAAATAAAGAAAAAAGACTTTATAAAGTTAAGTCTATCTGCAGACTACATGGAATCCCATTCGGTTGAGAGGCAGCAGCAGGACGCTTTGATACTGAATAGAGATTCATGGTAGGCGCTGCAGCCCGTGGAGCTAAACAATCACCCTGCGCTCTAATTGGTCAGAGCTCGCTGATTGACGTCACCAGTGACAGTTTCCAACGTGAAGAAAAATGTCTTAGTGACAGCGAGCAGCCAGCACGCATGCGCAGTGCCTCAGGCAACGCTTGAGAAAAATAGTTGTTATGCAAAGGTTATTGTACAATAAAACTCCTAAAAAGTTGATCCAGATATACAGTCGTCTTTCTTTTGTCAAAGCGAACAAAGGCTGCGCGGCTATGAAAGACCAATTTCCCCACTTTGATTATGCAATTACAAAACAGACTGCCTCGCAAGAGTATGCATATTGTCCCTATAAAAGTTGTAAGGATCATAAATAATGCAGTGATATCTTCATTTTGCCTCGCAACGTGTGAAGGACAACTTTACGCACAAATTACGCACAACTTTACGCACGTAAAAGATCGGCGTGAGCGGAGACAAAACTTGTCAACTTAACCAAAGGAAAACTCCACGTGGGAGTTTAAAATAGTCCGGAGTACATACCATTATTATGCGCTAAGATAAATACCCATATTTACATATCCAGTCGTTAGCTCTTCAGCGCGCACTACAGTGCTGACTCCGCGCTCTGCTCGCTGGGATCGGTGTGTGTAGGAAGTGTGAATAGGGCGAGCTGCGGCCATTGTCCCGAGGAAAAAAAAATTTAATGGACGGGACCTGTTGTTATGATCCGGGGTAATTTTGCTTTAGACCCAGGACGGCAGCAGCTGAGGGTCACAGGAGGTAGTGCCGTTGCAGACTTAAGTTCAAAATAAAACGTGTGTGCACTGTAAGTATCGGTTACTACAATATTATCCTACAAAGTGTAGTACTTGAGCTTAGTGATTCCTTTATTCTTTTTGTTTGAGTGCTTAAATGAGAGATATTAGTTATTCTAATCCTAACAACATGCCATATAAATGATTTACCAGTCACTCATGGTTATTTTTTCCATGGACTTTGTCTTTTTAAACCAGGACTATTTATAAAATCCAATGTGTAGTCATTAAAATATCGAGTAATGTTTGGATTTTACTGTACACGGTTTACAGTCTGCAGTACGGTGGACATTGTTCGTCTCTGTAACAAACATGAATGGCCGAAATATTTTACTAATTTACTTGAATATCACAAATAGCAAATTTAGATTTTTTTTTTTTGTCTTGCCATAGTGATACTTATATAATTAACAGTTATTACTTTAACACATGTGACTTTATTGTTTCAAGTGTTTTGAGTTATATCTGGTGTGTTGCAACCAAAATTGTGTTACCGACCGCTGCAAATTTTGGGGGGGTTGTTTGGACTGAACACTTAATCTTTGCAGTTGGAGACAAAAAATAAATTACTGTGACCTTAAAGACGGTCACATAGAGTGGTGATCACTTAGATGTCAAACATGAAGTGTGTTAATGTGTTATTTAACTTCTACGGTGAAGTAATATGTGGGGGTTGTGGGACTACAGCCTGAATTTATTGTCACAGGCGGTCGTTAATATTTAACCATAAAATATTTAATCACGATCTTTAAATTTTCGTTGATAAAAAAATCAACTGGACATGATGTGAACTTGTGTTTTTGGAAGACTGAATATATGTTGTTTTCATATTTAAACCAAAGCAATTGCCTTGAATATGCTGAATAATAGGACACTTACTCACTTGGCTCATATTCTTATATGAGAAAAAATAAATACAACGTTATTCCTCTTGGTTATTTCTCTGAATTGACTTGTCAAAATCGTTGCTGACAGCGTCATATCCAGCACGTTAGAAATTGAGTCAATATTTTGAGACATGACGGATCCAAAAGATGTTTATTAAATGGCCTTTGCGCATGGGGTTCATGAGGCTCACAGCTGTAGCCTTCAGAGGCATCACCGCACCAGCGTAATGCAAAACTTTGAAGTGCTATTTCTGGTCCAAGTTGTGCATGCACTCACTCTTGAAGACAAGTAAGCAGGGGAGTTGTATGAGATCCCAAACAACAACAAAAAGAGCTGAATATCGCAGAGAGGTCTCATAAAACGCTGCTTTTGCTGCTTTGGCTAAGTGGCTTTCACTGTAAATCCTAAATAGCTCCTGGAAGCCATTTTATATTTTACAGTATGCTTCCAGCACATTAGGATCATGACACTAAACGGTTATTGGCCTTTTAATCAAGACGCATATTTTACGCATACAAGTTAAATATGTTAGAATCACTTTGAGACACATAAGTATCATAGACACTTTAAATACACTTGCAAAGTTATGTATAGTTCCAACAGCTCCTTTCTTGGAACACAATTTCCAATCTTGCCTCACTTGTTGCAAGTCTGAGTATATGAATTCCAGTCTTGACTTGTTCAATGATTTGCCTTTCTTACCGTTTTCCACCTGTTGAAAGATCCCTCCAAATTTTGCATGGCAGAGTAGTGGGCTACCTAAAACGTCGGATCAAGTTGTAGGTCTACTTGTTAAGTTGAGAACAACAAAACTTCCCCTCTTTCCTCGGTCTCCTAAGACTGACTTGGAGAATGCCTTGTAGAAACTAGCCTAGTTGCCAAGAAGATATTTTAATGGTTTGCATGGCACGTCTGTGCATGTGGCTTTGAACTCTAGCAGCCGGAGGTTCCTGCAGAGAGCGCCGCAAATCCCACTTGATAACTTCGACAACCCACAACGTTTTGCACACAGGCTATGCATCACTGGCCTGCAAGAAGAAGAAAAAAATGAGTAAGTTGCACAAGCACAGCCAAAGCGTGATGGATACATTAGGCATACTAGTGCATCCAAGTTAAATACTGGCCTATATATTCAAGGTAACCTTTATGAACGTGGGGTGCTGCTGGAGAGCACGATGATGTGGAAATCTAAAGCACAGATGTTCCACGGGTGTGAGCTCCAGCGGACGCAGAAACATTGTGTTCAAGGGAGACAGAGCTACAAAACACACAGAGTGCGCACAAGACAACACCAGGCAACAAAACAGTTATGTGGATTCCCTTCCTGAATGAAAGGGATAAGTTGATAATAACAGGCCTTTAAAGGGAGCGATGACAGTGGGTAGACTTCATATCAAACCTCAGGGTTTCCCAAGGGACTTCCTGAGAAAAGACGTAAAACTCTTGTCTGCATACCTGTACCTGACACGCATAATGAGGGTCCACCTTTGAAAGCTATAAGGATTTACTTCACCCTCCTGCCAGTCCATGGTAGTTGCAATAAAGAGAGAGAGATAGAGAGATAGAGAGATAGATAGTCGGGCTGATTAATTGCACAAAACGTCACCAATTACTACACTAAACGGTTTGCTTGGTAGTAATGTCCCCGTGTTAACAAAGACAGTCTGACACATTTTCTTTATTAACACCTTCTTTCAGTGCGTGGCTGCAGAACGTGCTCTGACTTTCTACGGGGGCCGGTTGTCTTGCGTTTCTCAACTTTTTGTTTTGCTGTTATTCAGCCTTTTAACCAAATTCACAGTCAGCAATCTCACAATATCTGGGATTGATGATGCAAAGAGGCCAATAGAAGTGTGGGCCCTGCACCGTGGATTGTTATTTGGTGAGTGGATGTTATTGGGGGGAAAGGGGCTCCGCCAATGAGCGCGCCGCTCCGGGGCCACATGACTACCCCCCTCCTCTCCCATTCATCAGGGCTGGACTGTGTTGTCTTTTCAATTCATTTATCTGCAGGAATGATTGCGACTATCAGTCTAGAGCTCACCGCCTGACTGAGGAGGTGAAAGTTGCGCCACAGGAAGATAAACCGCAAAAGACAATATTGCATGTATATACATGATTTTACGCGTGCATCGGATGAACGGTATAGGGGAATTCCTCGCGTCTTAAAAAGTAAACAGAAAATCGGTGGATTTGAGAGTTTGCTCAGTCGAGTGAGGTCCAAGAGATAGAGAGAGGGGGAGGAAGAATATCTGTGCGTGATTTTGTGATTTCTGCTCTCAGTCGTCTCGGCGAGTCTAGACTGAAGATGCTCTTGGACGCAGGACCGCAGTATCCCACCATAGGAGTCACTACTTTCGGCTCCTCACGGCATCACTCAACAGGCGAAGTCACAGAGAGAGAAGTGGCGTTGGGGATAAATCCGTTCGCGGATGGGATGGGCGCCTTCAAAATAAACCACAGCTCCCACGATATTGGCTCCGGACAAACGGCGTTTTCCTCCCAGGCGCCCGGCTACGCAGCAGCCGCCCTGGGACACCATCACCACCCGACCCACGTTGGCTCTTACTCCACGGCGGCTTTCAACTCCACCAGGGACTTTCTCTTCAGAAATCGGGGTTTCGGGGATGCCACCGGGGCGCAGCACAGTTTGTTCGCCTCCGGAAGTTTCGCAGGGCCACATGGACACTCAGATGCAGCGGGGCACCTGCTCTTCCCGGGGCTCCACGAGCAAGCGGCGAGCCATGCGTCTTCCAACGTGGTCAACAGCCAGATGCGGCTGGGCTTCTCGGGGGACATGTACGGACGGGCCGACCAGTACGGCCACGTTACGAGCCCGCGGTCCGACCACTACGCATCGACCCAGCTGCACGGCTACGGCCCCATGAACATGAATATGGCCGCACACCACGGAGCCGGGGCCTTCTTTCGATACATGAGGCAGCCGATCAAGCAAGAGCTCATCTGTAAGTGGGTCGAGCCGGAGCAGCTGACAAATCCCAAAAAGTCGTGCAACAAAACTTTTAGCACGATGCACGAGCTCGTGACCCATCTGACGGTGGAGCATGTGGGGGGACCGGAGCAGACCAACCACATCTGCTTCTGGGAGGAATGCGCCAGAGAAGGAAAGCCATTCAAAGCCAAATACAAACTTGTAAATCATATCAGAGTACACACCGGAGAAAAGCCCTTTCCGTGTCCGTTCCCCGGCTGTGGCAAAGTATTTGCTCGATCGGAAAATCTAAAAATTCACAAAAGGACTCACACGGGTAAGATCCGCACAGATTGAGCGCTTTTTACTGCCAAAATCCAATGCTGACAATGTCCCATCCAAAATATGCATGCGATCCGGCTTATTATTTATTAGGCAGCTGGAGTCTCCTTCACTGGCATGTGATTCAGTACAGTTGTCAACAGAAAATATTTCATTTGCTGCTTCTTCTTTTTTTTTTTTTTTTTTTAGAGTCTTGTTATTTTATGTTATTTGTGATACACATTTAAATTTAATTAAATGAATTAATTCACGAGTCTAAATGGGCTCACTCCAATTAATTCGCAGTGCAGTCTGTAAGTAAGTAGATTATAGTTTTGTCAAATTTATAAAAGTAAAAAAAGGAGCCCTTTTATTCTTCACCATTATTTTAAAAAATCTTGAAATAAAATATTGTATAATGTGGATTTTTTTTTTTTTGAAACCCAGTGTTAAACGTTGTGTGTGTTTTTATTTTGTCTTTATTTAGGTGAGAAGCCTTTTAAGTGTGAGTTTGAAGGCTGCGACAGGCGGTTTGCAAACAGCAGTGATCGCAAGAAACACATGCACGTCCACACGTCGGACAAGCCCTATCTCTGCAAAATGTGCGACAAGTCATACACACATCCCAGCTCCCTCCGAAAACACATGAAGGTAAAAACCCGATGCCTTGTATTTGCTTGTCTTAACAGAATTATAAAATGTTATAACTGTGAATTTTGCTCAAATGTGTTTGTGTAGTTTATCTAGTCTGGAAGTAAGATATAGACATATTTCTATTGTGTAATATTAGGGGAGGAGGTTACAGCATTTATTCCAGAAAATAGAGAAACATAAGTTAATTTGCTTTGACACTTTCTTTCTTTTCTTTTGACCGACAAATCAGATTAAGATCTTAATGGGAATAATAATGTTTTGGGTATGCTTTGTTTAAGAATTTTGCAGACAGATTAGGACTTTTAATTTGTTTTGATTAATTTCTTATGGCATGTATTTGTACGAGGGTACAAACAGCATGTGCAGGATGCTTTTTCAAAGAACGTTTCTTTTTTTCATTATTGTTGAAGGTCCACGAATCCACCAATCCGGGGCCGCAGCCATCTCCAGCGGCCAGTTCAGGGTACGAGTCCTCCACACCTCCCACCATAGTATCACCGTCCACAGAGAACCAGAGCAGCAGCTCCATATCACCAGCAGCCTCAGCAGTACACCACACAACCAGCCACAGCACGCTGTCGTCAAATTTCAATGAATGGTACGTGTAAATATTTTTGAAAAAAAAGAAAAGCGAAAAAAAGACTGCAGATTTAAAAAGAAAAAGACTGCTTGGAATCAAAGACTTTATAAAGTCAGCCAGTGAAACATGGACTGAGAAAACACGGGAGGCCCCAAACGATCAATTAAAGGCTGTCTTAATGTCAATGAAAGCGAATGCATGGACAAAAAGGAGGCGAGGACAGCCACCGAGTTAAACTTTTTTCCCCTCAAATATTTCTTTGAGTCTTTATTTTTACTGAGAGACTTTCTCAAAAGAGATCTCAAAAACGCATGCTATCTGCGGGCCTGAATTTTTGTACATAAGGATTTCACCAAGTTGGAAAAAATGTAATATTTTATTTTGTAAATAGTTCTATCACAGTTTAAGGGAATTTGTGAAAATGTGGTCCCTAGATATATGGAAAAATGAGATGGTTTTAAGAATATTGCGATGAATAGACTTCATTGAAAAGAATGTTATAGTTGTGAACCAAATGTGAATTATTCAGTATTACTACAGTCTACACGTCGACCTAACCGACTCTTAGTATTAATGTGCTTTTGTAGCCTATTCAGTGCAACATTTTCGTCCAAGGTCCAGTTTGAGTAGCACAGTATCATTGTTGTTATTTAATGTCATGTCGATAAATCGTGTAGTGAAAGCCTGAAATTCCGTGTCAATCTGTTTATGTACGTGATAAATATAAAATCTCTGTCAATTGCTTTGTCTGAAAGGAAGTATTATTACATGTAAGTAGCTCAATTTTCCATATTTATCCGCATGTAAAGGACCGGTAACATGTTAGAAATGATCGGTATTTATGGAGAAATGCGCTCGTATGTAAAATTTAGTTTACAAAAAATGTTTGGATACATTTCGTACTATATTAAAGGATTAAAAAATACAATAATGCAATGCGTTGGAGGTTATTGGTTTCATTGGTGTTTGAGGGTGATCTCAACATGGGTGCTGTGTGAAACTAATGGGTTCTTTATAGGCTGCATAAAAAATACAATCATTTGCTGCAGACTAAAGCAGAGGTGTGTGTGTGTGTGTGTGTGTGTGTGTGTGTGTGTGTGTGTGTGTGTGTGTTTTCTAGCACACTATTGCATTTAGCACGGTTTCAATGAAAGGATTTGTGCATGTTTAGCTGCACAAATAATTTTA